TCCCCCAGCCAGCCACGAGCCGGCGTCTCTGGGGGAAGCCCCATGCCCCATTTGCTGGCTGTGGGGGGCAGAGAGAGCCAGCTTCCCTGGGGGGGCGGAAAGCCCCGTGTCCCATCCTCTCCCCCCCCCAGGGTCCCCCTCACCAGGTAGACGTCGCAGAGCTCGTAGAGCCAGAAGTTGTAGACGGCCGTGGTGACGGCCGGGAAGTCGTAGGCCCGGAACCCGGCGTCGCTCAGCTCCACGGCCAGGCTGAGCCGGCTCAGGATCCAGCGGTCGATCAGGCTCTCGGCGCCGCTGGGCTAGAGCCGCGGGGGAGATGCCGGTGAGCGGGGAGGGCGGCTGGTGCTGTGGGCAGTGGGGCAGCAGGGGGCACCAGGCTGCGGGGTGGGGGCTTGGCAGGGGGTGCTGGTGCTGTGGGCAGTGGGGCGGGGGGAGCAGGGGGCACCAGGCGGGGAACAACGTGGGGTGAGGCGAGCAGCGGGGCGGGGGCAGCAGGGGACGCCAGGCTGCGGGGGCTCAGCAGGGGGCGCCGGGCAGCGGGGGCTCAGCAGGGGGCGCTGGGCCGCGGGTCCCTCTCACCTCCGGTCCCGGCGGGGGCTGGAACTCGGCCCCCAGGCCGCGGATGGCGAATTTGGTGGCGTTCCAGAGCTTGTTGCAGAAGTGCCGGTAGCCCAGGATACGATTCACGTCCAGGTTGATGTCGCGGCCTGGCGGGCGAGGCAAAGGGAGAGGGGAACAACAAAGTGGGAATTTGGGTGGTGTTTTCATGAGGCCGACGCGTGCCTCACTTTCCCTGGGGCTCAGCAAGAGTTAAGAAGCCAGGGCAGGGCCTGGCAGGGTTTACATCTCTGGGGTGGTGCAAATAGGGCACTAGAGGGCGAGCTGAAACAGACCAATGGGCCGGCATGGGGCAGAGCCAGACCCCGAGCCGGAGAACGAAGGGGGCAGGTGGCGATGTGGAGAGAGACACCGGTGCCCACACAGAGAGATGGAGCCAGAGACCAAGAGGGAATTTTCTGTCGTGTTTTTATGGCACCTGGGCATGCCTCAGTTTCCCTGTGTAGGTTGCACGGCTCCCCCAGGGGTGCCAAATGGTCCTGGAGCGGCGCAGAAAGGGGTGGCTGGGGACAAACTCAGCCCAGATCAACCGAGGGGCCGGGGAGCTGTGGGGGCAGCCAGGACTGGGAGCAGTGGGGCCGGCTCAGCCAAGGGGTCCCTCCCCAGCCCCACGGCAGGGCTCTCGGGGGAAGCCGGGAACTCACCCTGGGAGGTGTACGCGCAGAGGGCGAAGCGCAGGGCGTCCGTGCCGCACTCTGGGATCCCGGCGGGGTAATCGCTTTTCTGGGGGGATGGGAAGAGGGGGATCAACTCCCAGCCAACCACGTTGTCCCCCCTCCCTGCCCCCCACATTCAGCCCCACAGGTTCCCCGCTTCCCCCCCAAACCCCTCACCTGGCCCTGCTTGGCTCGCTCCACCTCGGCCGGCTCCAGGTTGCTCTCCAGGAGCTGCGCGTGCAAACCCTGCGGGGGGAGAACAGACACGGCTCGGGACGGCACCGACCAGGGACATGGGTCCAGGCTGTCGAGAGCCTGAGCTCATCGCCCGGAGAGCCGCACGCTGCCCCAGGAATCGCCACAGGTCATTAACTCTGAAACCTACTGATGGACGGCTTCCAGCTAACCCCGCCCTAGGCCCAGACGGTGAGCCCCCTGCCGATCCAGGCGGCTGTCGGGCTACATGGCAGGGGTTCGGTAACATCTGGGAGGACGGGTTGGGGGGACCAGATGTCCCCCCCAGCGGTTACCTCCAGCGTGATCCCACTGATCACATCCAGCGGGTCGATGACGTTGCCTAACGACTTGCTCATTTTCCTGCCGTGGGCGTCCCGGACAACGGCGTGAAGGTAAACCTGAAACAGAGCCGGGCGGAGCGGGGTCAGGGCTGCCCTGAGGCCCCAGGGCAGGGCTGGGGGGGCACAGTGCTGGCGGGGGGGAAGAGGGGGGGGCGCCGTGCCCCGCTCTTACCTCACGGAAGGGCAGCTTGCCCGTCAGCTTCAACCCCAGCATGACCATGCGCGCCACCCAGAAGAAGAGGATGTCATGGCCCGTCTCCAGCAGGGTCCCCGGGTAGAAAACCTTCAGGTCTTCGCTCTGCCGGGACAGACAGACGGTGATGGGACAGAGCCGGACACCTGGGTCCCATTCCCCAGCCCCACCAGGGGTGAGCCCCCTGTGCTGCCGTTCCATCCCCCATCCCTCCCAAGGGGTGAGTGCCCTGCGCTGCCGTCCCGGACGCCTGGGTCCCATCCCCGCATCTCAGACTCACGGCGTTGGGCCAGCCGAAGATGGAGAACGGGAAGAGGCCAGAGGAGAACCAGGTGTCCAGGACATCGTCGTCTGAGAACGAGAGTGACAGGGAGAAACGTACGTACGGACGTTAGTACAGGAGCCGATGGTGCGTGCCAGGCAACTGGCAGGGGGCGCTGTTCTAAAAGCAGATGCCCCTCACTCCTGACCCACAGCCCCCAGCCCCCTCCCCGGCCATACCTTGCCTTAGTGAGATCTTGTCCGTGGTCACCCCAAAGGCCTTGGCCGCTTTGTCCTTGGCCTCCTCTTCGCTCCGCCCACTCACCCAGTATCGGCCGTCCGTGTCCTGGGAGGGGGGTAACCAGACGTCAGACCCCTGGGCCCATCGATCCCGGCGTCCTGCCCCTCCCAGCTCAGACCCAGGGCGCTATCCAGCTCGGTTTCCCCCATTACATAATCCTGTTGCAGTGAGTTCCACCGGTTAACGTGAATCAAAGCTGAATTCCCTTGCGTCAGTTTGTTTCCTCCTGCTGCCCCCAAATACTGCCCCACACCCATGGTTTTGGGGTGGGCACTGACAGATTCCCCCTCCCAGCTATTTCCTGGGGTTTCTGCCCCCCCTCACCTCTCCTGGGGGCACCGAGGGGTCGTCGATGGTGACGAAGTAGGCTGGGATGCGGTGGCCCCACCACAGCTGCCGGGAGATGCACCAGTCCCTGAAGGAGAAAGTGCCTCAGACGTCACCTGGGATATTACTGCCTCCTTGTGGCAGGGCAGGGCAGGGTGGATAAAAGCCCTACTACCGCGGCTGCAGCAGAGGGAGCTCCCCCGGGGCCTCACCTGATATTGTCCATCCACTGGAACCAGGTCTTGCAGTGGAAGGGGGGCAGGATGCGCAGGTCCCCGCGGCGCACAGCGTCGGCCGCCCCCCGAGCCAGCCCTTCGCAGCGCACGTACCACTGCGGCTTCAGCAGCGGCTCCACCACGTCCTTCGAGCGGCTGGGGGGTGACAAATAGTCCCTGTGTCCTTCCGCCAGCCCCATCGCTCCCCTCGCGGGGCAGCCTTCCAGTGCCCCCCCATATCCCCCAGGAGCCCCCTGCACTCAGGGGCCTAACTGCGCACGGATGTCCTTCACCTGTCCAAGTGACCCCTGCACCGATATCCCTCCGCACCCTCCAGAGTCCCCCCTTCCTGTCCACATACGGATATCCCTCCGCACCCTCACAAAGTGTTCCCCCTCCCAGATATTCCTCCTCAGCGTCTCCCTCCTTTCTGCACACGTATCCCTCCGCCACCGAGAGCCACCTTCACCTCTCCTTCAGATACCCATTCCCCCACATCCTTCCTGATGCACAGATATCCCTCCGCCCCCCAAGAGACCCTCCCCTTGCACCCCGACTCCCTGTATCCCCCCCCATCTCCCTCTGCACTCAAACAAGTCCCCCTAAACCATCATGACACCCCACACGTATCCCTTCGCCCCTCAAAATAGTCCCCCACTTCTTCACACTTCTATCCCTCCCAGTGGCAAATCACCCCGCCTTCACAGATACCCCTCCGCCTCCCTTAGCAAACGCCACTCTAACTCCCGCCCTCCTATGATGATACCCCTCCGCCCCATCAAAGAATCCCCCCTCACCTGCACACCGGTACCACCATGGGGTTGTCCTTGACTTCCTTGAACAGCCCTTTCTGCTTCAGGGCCTCGAGCACAGCCCCCCGGGCCTCGAACCGCTTCATACCCTGCATTGGGTGGGGAGCAAGGAGGGTCAGATCCCTGGGGCCCATCAAGCCCGGTATCCCACCTCTACCACCACAGATCAGACCCCCAGGTCCAGCCTGGTATTATCCCACCACTGCCACCACAGATCAGAGCCCCGGGGCCCACCCAACCCAGTATCCCACTACTGCCACCAAGGATCAGACCCCGCACTGGGGCCCATCCAGTCTGGTATCTCCTGCCCTAGATCAGACCTAAGAATTCCCCTGCCCCAGTTTAATGCCCCACTGCTGACACCACCAGTCCAAGCCCTGGGCCCATCCAGCTCGTATCCACCCCCCAGCCTGCTGGTCCCCCCCATACCAGGAAGGGGGGAGGCACGTTGATGAGGCACCCGCTGTCGTCGATAATGGTGACGCAGTCCAGGCCGTGGCGCTGCCCCACCTCGTAGTCGTTGTGGTCGTGGGCCGGGGTGATCTTCACCGCGCCTGGGGGGGGCGGGGCGGGGGGGGGGGGGAAGGCGGTCGAGACATGCTTCGCGATTCGCTGCAGCCCAAGTGCCCCTCCCCTTTCACCCCCAGCCTCACTCCACTCCCCAGGCACTGACCTCGCCGAGAGCCCACCAACAACCCTGGGACCTGTCCCCAGCCTCATATTCGCTCCACACCACATAGCCCCTCCCATGACTCTGGGCCTTGCCCCCCCCACCCAAGTCACTCCACCCCCTTCACTTCCCTTGGCTGGGCCCCTCCTGTGTTTCACATCACACCTCCCTAGGCCCCGCCCACATTCACTAGGCCCTGGCCCCACTGGCTGTTTTGTCAAGCCCCTCCCTCAGTCCCGCCCCTCCTCCAGGCCCCGCCCCTGCCCTAGGCCCCGCCCA